TTAAATATCACTTTAACAATAGTAGAATTAATTGCGTAGAGACTAAGCTATATATGGTGGGTAAGGAATTTATTCTTTATGCAAATTATTACCCACCAAAACTTGTAGTTGTCAAGGACAAAATTATTCTTCCTCGAATATCGTTAATAGCATGAAAGATGTCCACTAGACTTGATTATATATGTATCTTAAAAAGTGGATTTGCGGGAGGAGGATATAACAAGGGCTACGAGAATTGAGTTTTACCCTTTGTTTTATAAATTACCATCTAATTACAGTAAGTGTTAAATGAAATCTTACTATAGTGATAATGTGAAGGTCTAAATTTTCGAGGTCTCATATTCAAATTTTGGTTTAAATGCATTAATTGTTTTATTATATATATATATGTATATGTATCGAGTAAAAGCAACAAATTAATGATTTTTTTAAAGAGAAACAAATTGTCTTGGACTTTATGCTCTAACACAATTATAATTATTTAGAAGGATGAAAATAATGATGTTTTGTTATCATTCAAATTCAATACCCAAAATGCAAAGTAGGTGGAGCAATAATTGTATTTGTTAGTGCTTACTAATATAAAAGCAAAAAAAATATTAGAAACAAACAATTTCTGAATATATCAGGCGAAATGTAGGACCAATTTGATTTCTTTGAATATATATATTTATATTTATTTATTGTAGTTGCAAAGAACTCCAAATTCTTCTCTTTGGTCTTATCTTCAGTTAACCTGTAAAGCCTCAAAATTGGTTTTCGAAGTAAACACTTTAATGTCTAAATGAGCAATAATTTAATCTACTAAAAACAAGGCGAAAAGAAAACTTGAGATTGGTTTTAATTACTTTTTGGAAGTGACCTTTGAGAGTATTATAGCTTTCAAAGGAATGTCAACATGTTTTTTCCTATAGAAAACTAGGATCATATGCGTCAATCATGACTGAAATCTCTCGTAAGAAATCTAACTATGTTCAGATGGGACGAACTCGACCTCAACCTTGACTAAGGTCATCATGCTTGGTTTCAAGTGGTCTCCTTGAGGTCATACATTCGAAATAGTTCAGCTTGCCTAAGTTGAATAACCTCGAACCATCATCACACACACACACACACTGTAGAAAACTAGGATCATATGTGTCAATCATTGCTGAAATATCTTGTAAGAAATCTAACTATGTTCAGATGGGAGGAACTCGACCTCAACCTTGACTAAGGTCATCATGCTTGGTTTCAAGTGGTCTCCTTGAGGTCATACATTTGAAATAGTTCAGCTTGCCTAAGTTGAATAACCTCGAACCATTGTCACACACACACACACTGTAGAAAACTAGGATCATATGTGTCAATCATTGATGAAATCTCTCGTAAGAAATCTAACTATGTTTAGATGGGACGAACTCGACCTCAACCTTGACTAAGGTCATCATGCTTGGTTTCAAGTGGTTTCCTTGAGGTAATACATTCGAAATAGTTCAGCTTGCCTAAGTTGAATAACCTCGTACCATCATCACACACACACACACACACACACACACACACACATATTCAATATCAGACTCAAAGACCAGGAGAAATGGAAGTAGAAGATGGGAGGAAGTAATTTGCATTATTTTTGATCGTTTAGAATTAGGACAGGATAGACCTGGCAAACGACACACACACACACACACACACACACATATATATATATATAATATCAGACTCAAAGACTAGGAGAAATGGAAGTAGAAGATGGGAGGAAGTAATTTGCATTATTTTTGATCGTTTAGAATTAGGACAAGATAGACCTGGCAAACGGCACACACACACACACACACATATATATATATATATATATATTCAATATTAGACTCAAAGATCAAGAGAAATGGAAGTAGAAGATGGGAGGAAGTAATTTGCATTATTTTTTATCGTTTAGAATTAGGACAAGATAGACTTGGCAAACGGACGGGTTGGGTTGAGTTAGGGTCGGGTTGGAATGGGTAACGGGTTAAAATGGGTCACGGGTCAATAAAGGCAGATTTTAACCCGTCCATCATGAGTCACGGGTCAACCCGCGGGTTGACCTAATTAAAATTTTTTTTCTTTTTTTTTTTCTCTATAATTTGTACCTATTATCATTCAAAGAAAATTATTCAAAAGATTTAAAAAAGAAATTCAACATCTTATAAACATAATTTTTTTCATTAATTTAGTATATACATATTTATAGTTTTTCAGAATCACCTTTTTTATTTCCCTTTAAAGAACAACACTAATAAAATTCAAGAACACTACACTTATAAATCTCAAGAGAAAAAAAAAAAAAGCAGTAGTAGCATACAACCAAAAAACACAAATGCCATTGGAACATATTTGTTTTGGTCATTGCTTTCAAAGAATAATCAATTGAATGCATCTAAGTAAGCAAAGGGGAAAATCAAGTAAAATTTTTACTTGGAATAGAAAGAAAACTAAAAAGCATAAATAAGTAAACAATTTACCTTGAAGTCTTTAGAGAGAAAAGTTGGTGACAAAAAGAGCACTTACCAGACTCATAGGAGAAAAAAAGAAAGGGTTGAGTGGACGCAACAGTGACTCGATAAGACTAAAATCTAAGTTGAGATAATGTTAAAGATTAAAGAGAAAAGGTGGAGTCAAAGCTTGAAAGTCAAATGCCGTATGGACGATGGAGGTTGAAGAATATGAGAAGAGTTTGAAGTTTGAAGAGTTAGAGTCTTCGAGAGTATTAGGGCAAGTAAGAATATGAAAGGTCGGGAGGTGAGTTATGAGTGGAGTGGGATTATTTTTACTTCTAAAAGATGATGAGTCAAGAGAATCAATTAGTTAATTAGGGAATATTAGTAAATTATTAGAGGTTTATGTGATATTGGGAATTGGAAAACAAAATAATTAAATAATAAATTAAAAAAATTTTAAATTTTTAGACGGGTAAATGAATCAAACTCGTTAACCTGATGGGTCAACTACTTATTGACCTGTGACCCATCGGGTTCTCTTAACGAGTCATTAACGGGTCACGAGTCATAAATATATGACCTTAACCTATTTTAAATGGGCGGATAATGAACAGGTTAACAGATTGAGTAAAAAATTACTAGGTTTAGGACAGGACATATGTAATCTCCCAGAGATGGAACGGATAAGA